TGACGAAACAATCAGTCTAGGAAAATATAATTGAACTGCAAATAGTAAAAGAACATGCTGTTTTGGCTGGTGCAGCTCCATCGATGATAGACTTGTTGACCGATTTTGCCAAACTTCAAAGGATTTCCATAGGCGCCTCCCTCCAAGATCTGGAACGAAAAGGGCCTAATTCGAAATTTCTTGGGCAAAATGCGCACGTGCAGGGCAAGAGATCCACTTTGCGGTAAAAACGGCGTGTAAGTAACGTCGCGCCCACGCCATCTGCGCGAGGACCTGACCGGTTCAACATGAAAGCGCTACTGACCTAACTATGAAACTAAACGTTTCAGGCTCTACTTACATCATATCGACATACTGGCATCGGAACCAGTCCAGTGACGCTTGCTGTTGTGAGTTCGGCAACGTCTAGACGAGAATTAACATCTTTATTGCTTTCCATGTAGAAACACGAGACTCGGTACGCACGATCGACTTTTGTGAGGAAATGCGGCTGAAATACTGATTTTTGAGATCTTTGGACGAAAGCGCAGCACGTCTTTAACTGGTGCTGTCCTCCTTCATATGCATCTGAAAAAGAGAAGCTTATCGCCTAGGATGTAGCTGCGATGGTACTATGGTGAGTGCAGTACAGGCTAGCGCGGCATTCGCACCAGAACTCAACTTGCACGTGTCGTGACAACTGTGCAGCTATGCCTAGGATGTCCTTGACGCCACTCCGCCTTAGTGCACCTGCTTCACTCACACAAATAATGTTTTTTTTTCAAAAAAAACCAAGAAAACGCAGAAAACTCTTACGTGAAATGAAATGACGATAGTTGTTTGAACGAAGATTCCTTTTGGATTAAGCGATCGCGTTCGTTGTGAACCACAGCCATCAAAAGGAGTGACAATACCGGCTACTTGTCGGCCCCCATCATCTGAACGACACCGCTTATCCGAGAAAAAGCCCTGAAATCTTCCATATCAGTTTGGAGCTGGTGGTGTAATGGCAAATCACGCCACTCATCAGTGACTCTTTGTCAAGTCTAAATAAAATCCATGTATTGTCACCTGCACCCCGCCCCCCCCCCGTTTTTTTTTTTTTGTCCCCCAAACAGATCCCACTGGAAGCCAGCCGCTTATTGCATTTTCATATCCCACTATATTGTACCTGCGCTATTATTTCAGCGGCAAACTAACAAATTGGTGCGCGCCTCTAGGCCCTTCAAAAACAGTAGCCTTGGCAGGAGCCCACTGTCGCCATCATGCGGTCGCTTGCGGAATTCACTTATATTAAGGCGCGTCGGGAGAGTTGCTTCCTCAGAAGGTCAGCTTGGTGATATGATCGAGAAAATCAAGGAAAGGTACAGCTGGAAAAGAGAAACTTCGGAACAAGCAAAAAAAAAAATCGGAGTTTCCTATTCAAGTTGATATTCTTTTGATTTCTTCTCTTGACTTTCTATACGCAGAATATTGTGATATAGATAAAGTATGCTGCGCAAGTTACTGATTGCCAAACCAGTTTCAAAAAGTCACTTAAGAGAACACAAGTTGGATGCTTGTGAATATAAGGCTCCAGCATTCCAAGCGCGCCCAGGATGACAAGAACATGACCGAATAGTAAAAGCCTCAACCTCAACCTATCAGGCATCTTTGGAGATGACTCCAAGGCATTGAGTCAAAGCAAGAAAACCACCTAACCATGAAACGAGTAAGTTCCATGCATTCGCACGGAGCTTATGGATCGATATCCATGGATACCCTGAAATTCCTGTGCAGTCGATTCCACGGATGATGAAGGCTCCACTCAGGTCCACTAGCAAGCAAACCAAATTTGGAGCCCTAGATAGTTTTTCGTAGTTGAATTCACGCTACTTGCTCACCTTCCCACTGTATTGCTGTTGAATAAGAGCTTTACAACTAAAGCTTTACAGCTGAAGTTTATAACCGATTTGGTATCTGGTTCCAAGTTTTTTTTTGGCAGCTGACCAAACAGACCCTATACAGGGATCTGCACGTATCCACAGAAGGCATCGGCAGCGATTGTGGGAACCAACAAGATGCCTCCACCAACTGGAACTGGCCCAAAATAGGGTTAAGCATCAGGAAGGATAGGGCGGTAATTGAAGTCCACAAAAACAATCTGCACGGGATTACTCAGTGCAATGCTTCAAGTGGCGATAAATTTTTCTGAACCAAACTAAACTAAACTAAACTTTGATCTTAGCCAAAAGGCCGAGAAGCAATGAACCAACCTTTACGTAAACGTGCCCTTCGAAGGCGTTCCTGGTATTGAAATTCACGGTGATCGCGGTCGAACCACATTCGATTTCCGGCTCCCCTTCTACACCGTTATCGACCGGTATAGATTGAACAGTAAGGAACACAATAATTGGCTGCAGGAAAATGGCCAGAACCATTTTGAGCACAGAAGCTGTTCAGCAGGTCAGAAGATTAAATGCTTGTTGGCGTGGTCGAATTGTTTTCTTCGGATCAAAGTTTAGCCGCTCCGGTTGCTAATCTGTGGCGGTTGACGGACATTACGCCCTACAGGAGAAGCATAATAGTTCACTCGCGAGCAAATAACCAGTTATGGAGGGTCAAGAAGAAAAGTGACTGCTGGGAAAGTCGGGACTATGTATGTGTTCGGAAACTCTAGACCCTTGTTCTGACTTTTAATGACTTTTTAGTACGACTGACATCGTTTTGGTCATTATGACGGTGTCATTAAGGTGTGATCAGCTTAATTGCTTGGTGTGGAGGGGGCATTTTGCGCTTGCGTTAATTCCCTGTGTTAGTTCGTGTTGACCAAGACACTATCGGATTTGTCTCTAGTGAGTCCTGTATGTTCTTGTAGAGCTGGTAATAGACGCAAGTGAGCGACTTTGGCTACAGGAAATCACGCATCTGCACAAGGTGGCCTGAAACTGCTTCGCTAAGTGCTATTATGCATGCCCCCATCAAGCGAATTGCACCATTACGGTTTGAGAAGTGGCTGGAGTTTCTGCATCGCACTGGAAGAGGTCGCAGGATGAAACTCGCCTGAGTAAAGCCTGGCTAACCGCTCTTCAAACAGTTCCTCCCAGAAATTTTAGGGAAAATGTTGCCACTCTGCTTCTAAGGCTTGTTTTTTGTGGCTATTTCTTTTGAAGTCAACTCTTTGGCTGTAATCCAACATTCTCTGTACACCAGTCAAGAGTTATTTTAGTCATTTTCGTTATCCGTTTCCGAAATCCTGGAGTATTCCCAAAACATGGCCTTTCCCTATTCTTGCAAATGGCGGAAACTTATTCTATGAAGGGAATCTGCCGATGGGTTCGTGGGGGAGGAACTTATTTCAGAAAAGAAACGTCTAAGATTCGGCTAAGTCTTGGTTACAGGAAGAACTTGCCGGTAGTTCTCCTCTTTCAATGTTAGACGCAACAGTTTTGTAAGAGCGAGAAACATAGGTGAACCTAAATCGAGATCCTTTTCGCCTAAAGACGCAGGAAGCTTCAGAAGGGCTCGGTTCCATGAAACACAACCCAGCCTCTGACAACGGAAAACGAATATGTGGCAGTTGATTGACACGGCACAGGTACGTTGCAAGGCGAATGCGTGTGACGCTAAAATTAAAGTCAGTTTATTTTTCGCCACAAGCCTTCGACACGGTCTGTTCCTAAGGGTTGAACGAGAAATGCGTCGACACAAGTAGTGACCAGCATGTTGAAAGAATATATCATTAGAATGATATGTGATTACAGAATAAGATGAAGAGGAGAGTCCTGAAGCCCAGCTCATGTGGCTGTTTATAAGGGAAGGTGCTAGAGTCAGGCGCGAAGGCAGATCTCCGGACAGCGTAAACGCAATGTCCAATTTGAGCTTGCAGGAATGGCGAAAAGAGGTACGCTCTGAAAGTGAAATGTCACTAGAAAAAAAGAAAACTGCGATTCATTACCACTTCGATCTATCGACAGAGCGGGCGAAAGGCTATTTCAAACATCACTGACATTATCATTGCTATTTTCGAATCATTAATAATGTGTTTCAGGGAACCAGAGAGAAAAAAAAGCGACATTTTCCGCTTGCAGGAGCTAAGACAAAATTTTTGAGAAGATTAGGCACTTTCTGTCATACTTGCTTGAATGGAGCAGGAGTTGTTCGCGATTGGAGGAGAGGGCATGCTGCAAACATCAGTTTTATCGAGTTCCCTCACATTGCTGAAACCTTTGTAAAGTAGCAAAGTAGAACAAGTTTCGCCGAAGTGTCTTTGTGAGACCTGTAATCTCCCGTAAATTTATGAAGTTCTTGTAAAATTTTTTACACTGAGAAATTTCTAAGTTTATCTAGTTTTTATGAGTTTTACAATGAATGCCCTTACAGGAGTTTATAGGTCTTCACGAGAAATTACAGGTCCTCCGGAGTGAAAGTTTTCAGACATGCTTAGGGTCATTTCTTTGCTTTACAGGGGCTACAAGTCTTCAGGTTGGTGGACCTCGCCCCCCCCCCAGCAAACAGTTCTGTCAGGCGCTCAATGTCTTGAAATAAAAGAACTTACTTGATACCACATACGTTCACGGGTTAGTTTCCCTGTGGTTCCACTCAGTTTCTCTATCATAGGCATCATTTTCTCATGAGTCGGTAGTATGAACTCAACAGTTCGTCGATAAATTGCGAACACATCGGGATCGAAGTCATAGTCCTCGTCAGGGTTCTGAACACTTCACGTCATTTATATCTCTTCTTTTCACTGAAAAGTCTTTGAAAGAGTTTGTGAGTCCTCAATCGATCCTGAAAGCCCTAAAAACTTCCTTACATAGTACTTCTTCAGGAGTGTTCGCAGAATCACTTCAGCAACACGATCATTCATAGCATAGAGAGGTCCAACGAGTATTCTTTTAACTATTCCTTGACCTGCCAATTCTCTTGATGTACCGTATCCGATGCATTTGCCCTGAACACATGGAGTTAATATTACAGTGCAACTGCACTTGGATTACTGTAACCACTAAGCAGTCTAAAATGGTAAAATCGTAGGAGGGAGGGAGGGAATTCAGTAGTCTGAACAGGATAACTGTCTCTCATGGGGGGTCATTAATTCTACTTCACAAATGGGTAAAGGATGAACTTTCCGTCGTTGATCAATCGCTTTTCAGGATGCGGCACGCATTCTACTTCCATTCGAAATCGTGGTGCCTTTTTTCAATGCTATTTAGCCGACACATAACATTGAATTGCGGAAGCGAGCCGACGTACAAGTCAGTGCTCTTATTCTCTAGGGAGAATCTGATACCAGTCTACCGTCTCCAAAGGGCAGAAGCTTTGCTTTGCCCGAACAGGAGCGGATCCGGAGTTTGTCGTCCGGACCTGTAAACGTGTTTTTTGCCACACCACTTCTGCCGGTAATTCTGCGGCATACCAGTCTAAAAAGTCGAAAGCACTAACATGAACAACAGAGCCCATTCATTATCATTACTACAACCAGTCAGATCGCCCGGCTGACGCCGAGCTCTCCTCCTTCTCTTTAGCTGGCTTGGCCTCGCCAGGCGCACTTCATAATGGATGCGGAATTTGTTCATTCACTTAGCTACTCATACTGCGCTGGTCTGATCGAATCGTACTAGATGGAGCAACCCACGCGCTAGCTCACGTCCAGCTGCCACGCGAGCAGCCTGTGCAGTGGCTCGGAGTGTAGGTATTTGAAGGTATTACCACAATCGAAAACACCATCTTATTTTGTGACTTTATTTGGACTGGCTTGCAGTTTTGCTGGCGGTTGTACCCTCCTCCCTTGCTATATGCTCTAAACGGGCGCTACCCAATCCCTCATCGTACCCCCTCACCCAACATCTTCCCGCTGTTCCCCCACCCTGTAGGTGCTGGTCCAGCTGA